ATTAACATGAATATAATGGAGGAGGTTATGGAAGTGAAATGTTACAAGAATTATGGTTATAAAGTTGGAGGTTATGGTTATCTTCGTAATGGAGGAAAGTAATGGAGATAATGGGTGAGAGTAACTTCTTGGTGTAGTGGACATCCACAATATAATATTTTATAACAAATATGACCCTTTTCCATACTTCAACTTACTGCTTCTGTCCTATTATTTATTGTCTTTGTACTTAAATTTGTTATTAGTTTTGTCTCTTGACTGATTATTTTTGTCCCCTCTCATTTATTATTTGGTTCATTTTATTTTTGTGTATTTTTTTTTCTTTCTTTTATTTGAATATAAACATAGTTTTAATGGTTGATTATTTTTTACTAAAATGATATATAAAATAAATAATTAGCTGACAATAAAAACAGTTATAAGGAATATTGAATTTACTAATTATTTAATAAAATCAAAATTAATAGAGACACAAATTTTTGTTTTTGATTAGATTATCTTCTTTTATTACATTTCTTTTTAAAGATAGAAAAATATAAAAAACTATTATCTTATTATTTTTAGACTGAAAAAAATTAAAGTAAAAATAAAATAATAAACAAATATATTAATAAATAATTAAGAATGACTACGGAGTGTCTCATTAAAGGATTAGACCAAACCTCTACGATACCACAAAACCACAATAGTATCATTAAGCACTAAAACAAATCTCAATGATACCATAAAAGAATGTACGTAATTATAGTGGGACAACATAATGGTGGTCTCACAGTAGGATTGAAGAATTCCTCATGAATGATGCCAAATATATTGTGATGATATCATGAAGGGCTCACCAAAGGACTGAAGTAAATACCATGATAATATATAGATATATTTTCATAGTATCAAGAAGGTCTCATCGAAGGACAGAAGGAAATCTTAGTGCAACTATAACAACATATTCATATATTGTGATAGTATCATACATAAGCTGGGGAGTGTTACAAATTATATGAAACCGGCATATGATACCATGTCAATATATATATGGTATGTTGTGATGGTATCATTGAAAAATTATAAGTTTCTCCCTTGAAAGACTGCTCATTACTCAATAATATCATGTTATTATATGTATAATGTGTTGGTATCATTGAGCAGTGAGTTGGTTGTACATGAATGATTGTAGGAAACCTTATTGATATCATAGAAATATATGATATTGTCATGGTATCATTAATGCATGTAATTTTGTGAATGAATAAAGGAAAAAAACATTAGTGCTACCATAAAATATGTTCATATACTGTGATGGTATCATACATGATATGAGGATTGTTACTGATTATAAGAAACAATTCTTAATGATACCATGCTAGTATATGATATATTGTGATGGTATCATTGAGAAATTATGATCCCCCCCTTGAAGGTTTGATCAACAGTCAATGATATCATGTTATTATATATATATATATATATATATATATATATATATATATATAATGTGATGATATCATTGAAGGACAGAATGATTGAAGCAAACATCAATAATATCATGACAATATATAGATAATGTGATGATATTATTACAGACTGAAGCAAACAGTAATTATACCATGTCAATATATAGATATATTGTGATGGTATCATGGAGGTCTCACTGAAGGATTGAAGAAAACATAAATGATGTCATGACATTAAATAGATATAGTATAATGATATCATGGAGGTTTCACTAAAGGACTGAATGATTGAAGCATGCATCAACGATACCATGACAATATGTATATGTATATATATTGTGATGGTATCATGGTGGTCTCACTAAAAAATTGAACCAATGGTCAATGATATCATAACAGTATGTATAAAATTAAATTATGGTAAAAAAATAAAGAATATTATGATTTATATAAAAAAAAAGAATAGAAAAGAAAGAAAAATACTAAAAGAATTAAAAAAAGAAGAAAATATATTGATCAAAAGTGAATTGAGAAATCGAATGGATGATGACTTCATGAGTGGATGTATTGTGTCTTATGTAGAAAAACAATATTTAATACTGTTTGTGATGATATTATTATGAATAGATTTCAAGAAATGAAATCTCGCAAAATATAATTGTAATGAATATTTTGATTAATCAAGTTTTTCATGATACTTTTTCATTTTATTTTAAAATTCGTGTGTGGTCATAAAAATTTCAATTCTACTTGAAGTTTGTTACCACTCCCAACTACCTTAAAAATATGAAATCAATTCAATACCCCAACTCAACTATATATATATATATATATATAAGATACTAATTTTCGAACATGTAGGTTCCATGCTAAATAATATAAATACTTTACAAGTTTTACAATTTTGAACTAATCTTTTACAAAATTTAATCAAATAAGTCTAATAAAGATAAAACACACACAAAAAAAATTAGAGAAGAAAACATGTTCAAAAATAATATTAATAATAAACCAAGATGAAAGAATAAAAAATCAAGTTCACTAAACCCCTCTATTTATAATAATTTAAAATTCAAAGTTGGGGGTATTATAGTATTTTAGAATTCAAGTTAGGGCTGTTTTTAGTTGGGGTATCATAGTAATTTAATATTCAAGTTAGAGAGTTCATGTTTTTAAGGTAGTATATAATATAAGTGTGTGTATATATAAATGTATTTTATATCATTTTAAGGATAAGTAATGAAATATTAAGAATTCATTTAGAACTCTTTTGCATGTAGATTTCTATTTTTAAGTTAATTTTTTTAATTTAATTTTTGTTATGAAACTATATAAATTTAGAAGAAGAACAAAGTAGGGAGAAGAAATAAGACTTCTTATTCTTCTTGTATGATATTTAGGGATTCATATATCTGATTTACAATGAAGAAAACTCGTTTATTTATAAGGGAAACCTAACTTGGTCCCCAAGTAGGATTCCTAACTACTCCCTAAAAAAACTCCACTATAATATAAATATGTTTAAAACAATTTTAATTTTTTTCCCTACGTATCTTTCTCCTTTCTTTTCACGGTTATTGTTTTTTTATTCTTTTGTTTATTATTGTTATTGTTTTTATTTCTAATATTTCTATATTTTTATTCATATTTAAATTAAATGTATTTAAATCTATTTTACAATATAAATTTCTGAAACAGTAAGAGTTCATTTAGAGTTTTTCTACCTATGAATTTTTATGTATAATCTAATAAAATATTTTTTTTAAAATTGTCGACTAATTTTTCATTAGCTTGTCAGTTTACATAACCATATTACAAACTAGTCTCCTTTTATTATTATATATATAAATCACAATTAATTATATTTATGATATAATTCACTAACATAAATTAATAACCACGTAATATCTAAACTAGTATTATCTTTCACCTCAAACCAAAGGGCAAGAAACATTTATATGTAATTTTAGGGTTTGGTAGATCAATTTAGAAAATGTCGAGGCCATTGCAATCATTGGGAGGATCGCCGAGGAGTGCAACGGCGGAGTCTAAGGAAAAAGGAGAATCGACGGCGACCCCAATGATGACGGCGGCGGAGATGGAGATGGAGCAGGATATTAAAAAATTCATTGGAGGTGATTACCTGAGGGGTTTTATACCAATGAAGGGTGATGTTTTCGATTATGCTAATGATGACGATCCAGACCGTATCCCCGATGGGGCTTTGGTGGAGCATCGCCCTCATTTTGCTGATATTTGGCGCCGTTATGATGCTCAACTTCAAACAACCAATGTATGTATATATGCTTTTCTGAATGATTAATTAATTATATATGTACTTCTAATTGTGTTGTGGACAGGGTATGGACCTTGATACTTTTCCTGGTTGTTCTATGCTTGTTGATGCATATCCGATAAATATGTCCGATCCCACCACCGAGGAGGAGGCTATGATAATTTATGAGCTGGTTGATCTTGCTCTCGACATATACAATCATGATGAATCCAATGTATGTATGAGTATGACCCTGTTGCGATCCCTCCTATATTTTAGTCTGTCTGTGCTGCAACTAACACTAATAATAGTGTCTCTGCCTTGCAGCTTTTTAAGTACAAGTTCATCAAGGTTGAGAAAGTGAACACTCGGCTCACAGGATATGCTGAATTTTTCATTACTGTGAAATTCTTAAATGTCACTATTGCTACTGTTGTTGAAACTTTTCAAATATATGCCGGTCAAAGTATGTGTAGGCGTCATTTTAAAAGAGTCTTTCTTGTGTACCAAAATCAGGGGTAAGTAACAAGAGGTTTACAGTATTTACTTACTATCTATTTGATGATGATTTTGGGTAAATTTTAACTTTATTTTGGTGTTTTTTCCTCTCTCTCTAAGGCGTTGATGTAATTGCCAAGATGGAAGAGAGGGACATACACTTTATTATGTGGTAGGTACTACGAATACACTGTATACTTCAACGAACAACATTCTCCTTCTGTGGCCCCTCATGGATTTGAAAAGTTACTAAAAGTGTACGCAGAGTGAGATTTTTTACTTAAATATTTCAGCAAAAATAAAGTTCACTTTTTCCCCAATATTCGCAATTGTAAATATGATTACAAGGGTACAATTTTGTAATCCTCATAGCATGGTTAGCCAAATCCATCAGCAAGTACAGATAAGCTAGGTATGTACATAGCTGCTTGAGATTCAACCCTATCAAATAAGCCAATCCGACACGTGTTCAGATTTTTAGTTATGCAAACACAAGTTAAATATTTGTTTTGTAGCTAACATGCTCTTTCAATATTTGGTCTTTTTGTTTAATAAAGAGAAGCAGTCAGTGCTAATCACGAATCACTTGAACACAGCACTATGAATTCTCTTATGTATTTATTTTAATTAAAACATGTAACACCAAAACAATAGTCACTTATAACTTGTAAGTAAGCCCCATAATCTTATCTGAGTCTAGAAAATGATCAAAATAGTCCTTAACATATAGGTACAGAAAATGATCAAAATAGCCCTTTAACATACATCATTTTCACAAAATCTGAGATAAGTATTGTATAAACTTTGTGAAATATAGCGCGGTGCTCCTTCAAAACGTCTTCAGGGATGAACAAGGAAAGATTAAAAGTATTCAAATTCAAAAATATATAAGATTTTTAAGAAAAAAGTTTTTTTTTTTTTTGGTCATATTATAAGTAGAAACTCCTAAGTACAAGAATTTTAAATCAAACTCTTACTCATATCCAAAGAGCTTGAGATGAAACAATCTTGGCATAATACTCGTAACCAAATAGATTTGCACATAAAAGGATAGCTAACAAGTATTAAAGTCACCTATTGCAACTCCAGGCAACACAACAATATATATTTACATGAAAAAAGGTGACTAACAAAAAATGATTGGATATATATAGTATAGCAATTTATACCGCATATCTACCAACTTTGTATCACTTAATATCAATTTTTTTTTTGATAAATAAAATCAATCTGACAATATATAGTATAGTACCTTATAACATATATAATAGGAAGAATTGGTATCATGTAATATACTAATTACTTTTATTTTGAACCAAACTGGTATCAACATATAATGTTCTACATTATACCATATATCATCCCAACGTTTATTCATATAATACATCATATTTATTCTATAAATACTTTCTCATATACAACTATTGTTTTAATTTGTCATGACTAAAAAATGGACGTGGTGACACTTGCATTATCCCACCAAGATAAGTCAGCCTAAATCCTGACGAAGCAGATAAATACGGAAATAAAGCGGAAATAAGATCTCAAGATAACAAAACATGCGGATAACTTAATCAAATTTATAATATTACCAAAATTTGATTGTCATGTGTACAAGCCACTAACATATTATAATAGAAGTGAAGAAAAAGAAATGGGGTACGGTGAAGAAGGGATATTTGTTGGGTTTTATAGAGCAAGTCAAAGCGGGGACAACAACGACTAAGCCCAGCATATTCCAAGAAACTCTCCGACTCCTTTGTTACTAGGGATAAGAAATAATTAATATCAACGTTTATTTTTGAATAAGTTTATTTTATATTTTGGTTGAAATTAATTATTCTAAAATTATAATATTATTTTTATCTAATATTCAAGATGAAATAATATAATTAATTTCAAAATTTACTTCGGAGATAATTTGTTGAACCAAACGAGGACTTAGAGTAGAACAAAATCATAGGTAGAAGAAAGAGGGTCACTGAGGTGACAAACAACTACCTTTGTTGAAACTTTTCAAGTATATGCCGGTCAAAGTATGAATGGATTATCAATTAATTACTTTGATATGTGGTACTCTGTATACCTCACTTCATTTTCTCCGGTAAAGACGAATAACATTCTCCTCATGTGGCTTCCCCTTTGAAAAGTTACCGAAGGTGTACGCAGAGTGATATTTTTTACTTTAACAGTCAAAACAAATTCATAGCATTCAGCCATAATAAAGTTCACTTTTTCAACATACTCATAACCCTTCAAGGCATGAAAAAAAATAATACTATAAGGACATTCGGTTTGATTTTTTAAATAGAGCAATTATGATTAGATGAATAGAAGCATATAGTACATCGATTTTGTCATCATTCTTGCATAGCATGGTTAGCCAAATATCCTTCCAGATTAGGTTTCCAGGTAAGCTATATACATAGCTGCTTGGTATTTCACCCAGACAGACGTCATGGGTTAATACCTCAGATGATCACTCAACTATCCACTTTTGCCTCAGAAAGTCACTTAACTTTTAATATTCACTTAAAAGTCACCATGTGAGTGACTTTCTGAGGAAAGACTGGATAGTTGAGTGACCATCTGAGGTATTAACCCTAGACGTCAATGTCGAAACCCTATCACATAAGCCAATCAAACATGATTTCACATTAAAGTTGTATTGCACAGATCGGTTCAGATTTTTAGTTATGCAAAGACAAGTTGAAAGAAGCATATATATTCATTTTTTAAAAAACTTTGTGCATTATTGATACAAATTTAACAAAATATTGTGTTTTGTTGTTGTATATCATTATCACGGTAGAAGTTAAATATTATAGGTACCATATAGTATACCAAATTAAACTATACATTATACCAATAATTTGATATAGCATCCCAATGTTTATTCATAGAACACACTAATAATTATTCTATAAATACTCTCATATACAAATATTGTGTTAATTTGTCATGACTCAAAAAATGGACGTGGTGACACTTGCATTATCCCACCAAGACAAGTCAGCCTAAATCCCGACTAAACAGATAAATATGGAAATAAGATCTCAAGATAACAAAACATGCATATAACTTAATTAAATTCATACTATTACCAAAATCTGGTTGTCATTTGTACAAGTCACTAACGTATTATAATAGAAGTGAAGAAACTACAAGTCTCAAATGACATTGTTTCTAGAGTAGGAGAAAGAGGATCGATGAAATGACAAACAACTGCCTCATAATCTCTTTAGAAGAGCCTCGATCAAGAAGAGAAGAGAGGGTATCACCGTGATGTGAACTCGTAACATACATAAATGTAGAAACAAGGAGTGAGTAACGTAGAAATCCACCTACAAGCCGAACAAGGTCCTACGGTCTATAGAAGACAGTCACAGGAAGGTATCCTGAGGTTAGGAAACTTTGAGTCTCGGAACCTTTCTTGAAGGTTCCACGGTCCATAGTAGGGGGTCCATAGAAGAAGGTCTAGACTAGGTGAAAAACATGGGAAGGTGGGTCCCTACGAGGATAATCACGAACGCCTTTGAACATCGATAGCTTGGGAGCCTCAACCTTGGCCTCCCTATCTTTGTTGAGCGACACAAGTCCTCCAACTTCAATGCCCTTTTTGACTGATTTCATCATGGCTCTTATGGATTCAATCCTGATTAGCACATCCAAGAGTCGGCACTCCAAGGAAGTGATGACTTCCTTCATCTCATATTTGGCATGCTGGTGCCCCTCCAATTTCTTGCAGATGTTTTCATTCTCCTCAAGGGAGAAATCCTCGAGAGTCTTGAATTTACTATCGACTTCGTTCAAGCGCTTGCCTATGATCTCCACAGCCTTCCTCGCCGTGTCAACCCTTGCGATCCACTCTACTCCGAGCATGATGTCAATGGGCTCCTCACCACGTTCATCATCACTCGCTTCAGTGGTCAAAAGTGAGTGAGATGTCAGCGCTTCGCTTGGTGTAGAATCGAGTAACAATTCCTCGTTACTGTTAAGGTGCTTCTTTCCACCATCCTGCTTGACGTTGGTGGTGCTAGCAGCGTTAATGTCTCCCTCGTTTTCCCTTCCCTTAGTACCAACCTTTGCTCTGATACCACGTTGTCACGGACTTAGAATTCAACTAACACTCTGTGTGGCACTCGACAACTTACTCTTGATTCTTTCACGATCTTGTAAGCTCAAGTAAGTCTTTTCAAACTTAGATCGCTAAAAGAATGAAGAAAGACACAAGAGAGTTTTTAAATAAGGCCTTTTGTATTGCTTTAGAATATTGCTTACACTTTTTTGGTTGGTTTGCAAATGTATGTCCCTCTATTTATACTATACACCTAGGGCAGGGGTGTGCATTATTTGGATTAAACCGAAAAAACAAAATCAAATCAAATTGAATTCTAATTTGGATTATTTTTTGGTTTTTTGGTTTCGTTTAGGATTTAGAAAAATAAAAATCGAAAAACCAAATAAACTGAATCTTATATATATATATATATATATATACCTTAAAAGCATGAACTCCTAACTTGAATGTTAAATTACTATAATATTCCTAACTTAGGTTGTAACTTTTTCGATGAGTTGTGACTTTTCCGATAAGTTGTGACTTTTTTCAAACGAATGTGATTGTTTGATGAGTTGTAACTTTTCCAAAGCATTGTGAGTTTTCCGAAGGGCTGTGACTTCTCAGAAAGGTCATGACTTTTCAGATAAGAAACAAAAAATAGTTGTTCGTACTACCTTTTGTTGAATATAAATAGAAAGACTTTCCCTCTCTTTTTTCAACCACAATTTTTAAAAAATCATCTTCTCTTCTTCTTCTTGCATTTAAAAAAAAAATTGTGTGATTTATTGTCATTGAGTGAGTTCGAAGTTTAGCGGAATATGAGGTTTCACTATTTTGATAAAGTAAATCGTTCCATCCTAAGAGGGTATATTCTATAACCTCGAGTACTTGAGGAAAATAATTTTGAAGATATAATAATTATTTTTTTCCTTAATATATACATTAGTATGTAATGTTCAAATATTTGAAGTTAACATGATGTAGTCTAAATTCATTTTTTTTATTAAGAATTTCTCTTGTGATGTAGATATATGCTTCTGAATTTCTTTTTTCAAAATTATTAAACTTCTCAAGAGTTAGAAAATTGTCACGATTTGCTTTTTGATGCTCAAGACAAAATAATGACTTTATATATCAATGTTACATATGTGATTTTGATTGTAAAGAAGTTTGCTTCAAAATAATTATTACTATATAAACATTGTCATTTTGTTTTCATTATTACTATTTCTTAATATTTCAGTATTTTAGACGAAGAAAAGTTCATATGACTTGTAATAACGCCAGTTGAAGTTTGTACTAATTTAATTTTTATTATTTATTTAATAGCTAATTTTTATGAGATAAATATTTTTATTAATGCAAATCTCTCTCTCTCTCTCTCTCTCTCTATTATTTGTATTTAAATTAAAGTATTATATATGTCATGAATGTATTATCAAGTTAACAAGATCTTCTAACTTCAGAATATATTATTTTAAATGTCCAAAGTTATTTAAAAAAAAACTCATAACAAATGTGAAAATATGTGAATATATCTGAATCATTTAAAATTTATCAATTACAAAATACATTTTATATTCAGTAATATAGAATAAACATTTTCATTTTGTCCCAACACTAAATTAAAATCTAATAACTATAAAAAAAAATAGTAACATTAATTAAAAGTCCTATTTATTTATTTATTTATTTATTTATTTATGTAAGTATAAAATTTATTAGAAATTTAACTATTGCACATTAATTCTTTATTTATAAAATTATAAATTCTGTTCGTTATTACTAATTATTGTGAATGTTATTCACAATCTTTTACATTCTTTAGTTATAATATGTTTTATGAATTCTCATAGTTATGACATTAATTATTTCTATCTTTCATCTTTCCTTTTATTAACTTTTGACCAATAATTTTTCATATTATTATACAACCCCTATATATGTGATACCACTGTGTTGTTATTTTTTCTTGGTCGAATCATGTTTGGTTGAATAAATTGAAAATTGTTTACAAGTATATGAACTATATCTTTGTTGGGTGTAAGATAAACAAGTGATTATACATATGATTTCACAGATAGAATATATACTTTAATTTTAACTTTTAGTTTTTCCGGTGAAAAAAAAGAGAGGAAACCTTTCTCAGTCAGATAACTATCTTTGATTTATGTACACAGTCAATTGAGAAGTCAAATATGAGAGCAAACAACAAGAACACCGTCTATTATGTTATAAACTATAAAATAAAAATTAATACACAAAAAATAGTTCTAAAAAATAAAATATAGTTGTTCTCTTCACATGTTCATATGACATCTGAACAGTTTAACGTGGAATACACGTGCAAAGTACATTTGATTAGATGACAAGAAAAATACACATCAAATATCGTCTGTAAAGTAATTTTAGTGAGATACGACTAATTACATGATTGAACCCCATCAAATTGAAATAAATATATACATTATTGCATTTAACTAATAAAAATTTTCATTGACTATCTTCATACGTTCGCGTGAATAACAAATATATTTATGACAATCCACATTGAACATTCACAAAAGAATCTGCAATATTATTTTGTGCAAAACTTATTATTCAAATCATCGCTTAAATAAGCAATACTATTTACTATAACATATATTTTCTGAATTGGTAATCACGTGCAACACACGTGTCGAAAAACTAGTTACCTTAAAAGCATGAACTCTTAACTTGAATGTTAAATTACTATAATATCCCTAACTTAGGTTGTGACTTTTTCGATGAGTTCTGACTTTTCCAATAAGTTGTGACTTTTTTTCAAAGGGTTGTTATTTTTTGATGAGTTGTGACTTTTTCAAAAAAGTTGATTTTTTCAATAAGTTGTGACTTTTCCAAAGGGTTGTAACATCTCGACAACATCATGACTTTTCTAATAAGACACCAAAAACACTTGTTCATATTACCATTTGTTGACTATAAATAGATGGGCTTCCTCTCTTTTTTCAACCACAATTTTTTTTTCATTTTCTACGTACTCTTCTTCTTGCATTTTAAATTTTTTATGTGATTTATTATGGTTGAGTGAGTTCGAAGTTTAGCGGAATATGAGGTACCGCTATTCTGATGAAGTAAATTGTTCTATCCTATGAGGGTATTCCATAACCTCGAGTACTTGAGGAAAATAATTTTGATGATAGAATAATTATTTTTTTGCTTAATTTATAAATTAGTTTGTAATGCTCCAATATATGAAGTTAACATGATGTAGTATAAATTCATTTGTTTTTGTTAACAATTTCTCTTGTGATGTAGATATATGCTTATGAATATCTTTTTTCAAAATTTAGAGAATTGTCATGATTTTTTTTTTTTGATGCTCAAGACAAAAGAATAACTTTATTTATCAATGCTACTTATGTGATTTAGATTGTTAAGAAGTTTGATTTAAAATAGTTATTGCTATCTGAACATTACCCTTTTGTTTTACTTATTTACTATTTCTTAATATTTCAGTATTTTAGACGAAGAAAAGTTCATATGACTTGTAATAACGCCAGTTGAAGTTTGTATCTGTTTAATTTTTATTATTTTGTTTAATAGCTAAATTTTAATAGATAAATATTTTCAATAACGCAATTATATACATATTTGAGTAAATTTTAGGTTTAGCAAACATAAAAATCATATTTGTATGTTATAGTTATAGTTTGCATAATTGCGGTCCATAACAAACTTTATGTTTGCTATGGAGCATCATATTTGTATAAATCCCTGGCAGGAGCATCAAATTTGTATAATTATAAGTGTATAATACGAAAATATATGTATTTGTATTTGTATATACAATTTTCTCTCGCTTTATACAAACGCAAACACAATTTATACATTTGTGTTTGTATAAAGTGAGAGAGGCGAGGGAGAGTGGCGAGTGTGATTTGGGAGAGTGGAGGTGAACGAAAAGATATGTATATATATATAGTTTTCTCTCATTTTATACAAACACAATTTATACATTTATGTTTGTATAAAGTTAGATAGGCGAGGCAGAGTGATGAGCGAGATCTGGGAGAGTGGCGAGCGAAATCTGGGAGAGTGGTGAGTGAGATTCTCTAAGGAGAGAGGCGAACGAAAAGATATGCGTATATATAGTTTTCTCTCATTTTATGCAAACACAAACATAATTTATACATTTGTGTTTGTATAAAGTAAGAGAGGCGAGAGAGAGACTGCCAAGCGAGATCAGGAGAGTGGCGAGCGAGAAATCTGGGGAGAGAGGCAAATGGCAAAATATTTGCAACAGATTAGAATTAAATGAAATTGTGGTTATAGTATTTAATTTTAATTAATATTTTGCTATTTTATACAATTTTCTCATATTTATATTTGGGTAGGTATTTGTATTTAAATTAAAGTATTATATATGTCACTAATGTGTTATCAAGTTAACAAGATCTTCTAACTTCAAAATATATTATTTTAAAATGATCCGTGTTCTTTTTTTGAAACAAAAAAACTCATAACAAATGTGAAAATATGAATCATTTAAAATTTATCATTTACAAAATAAATTTTATATTTAGTAATATGGAATAAACATTTACATTTTGTCCCTACACCAAATTAAAATCTAATAACTATAAAAAAAAAATAGTAACATTAATTAAAAGTCTTATTTATTTATGTAAGTATAAAAATATATTAGAAATCAACTATTGCACATTAATTCTTTAGTTATAACATTACAAATTCTCTTAGTTATTACTAATTATTGCAAATGTTATTCACACTCGTTTATATTCTTAGTTATAATATTATGAATTTCATAGTTATTACATTAATTATTTCAACCTTTCATCTTTCCTTATATTAACTTTTGACCAATAATTTTTCATCTTATTATACCACTCTTATATATGTGATAAGACAATATTGTTATTTTTCCTTTGACGAATCATGCTTGGTTGAATAAATTGAAAATCATTTACAAGTATATGAACTATATCTTTGTTGGGTGTAAGATGAAAAAGTGATTTCATATATGATTTCACAGATGCAATATATTATTTAATTTTAATTTTTAATTTATCCGGTAAAAAGATAAAGAAAATCTTTCTCAGTTAACGTAATTGTTCTCTACATATGTTCATATGAAATCTAAACAGTTTAACATGGAATACACATGCAAAGCACATCTGGTTAGATGACAAGAAAAATACACAACAGATATCGTCTATAAGGTAATATTAGTGAGATACGAAAGATTACATGATTGAGCCTCATCAAATTGAAACAAATATATACATTATTACATTTAACTAATAAAATTTTTCATTGACCATCTTCATAGATTCGCGTGAATAAGAGATATATATGATGATCCACATTGAACATTTACAAAAGAATCTGCAATACTATTTTGAGCAGAGCTTATCATTCAAATCTTCGCTTAAATAAGCAATACTATTTACCATAATATATATTTTCTGAATTGGTAATTACATGCAACACACGTGTCAACAAACTAGTATATATAATTTATTTGGAGTTTACAACTTTTGTATCCCTTTTTAGTTATCTTCTTTCATTATGATTTAGTTTATACTTTATATTTGGACATCTATAATTTATATACTTTTAAGTATTGTGTTTTACGTTTTACTTGTGATTTATATTAGAAAATATATTTAAGAGATTCAATTTTATTACTCCTCCTTGTATATAATATGTATATATTTCTTCAAATTGTAAATATAACTTTGATTATGTTTCTAATTATTATTGAAATAACCGAATAACCAAACCGAAAAAACTAAACCGGAAAGAGAAAAATCAAACCAAACCAAATTTATTTCGGTTTGGATTGAGTTATACTTCAAAATGAAAAACCGAAAAACCCAAAAAGAATAGTAGAAAACCAAATCGAAAAACCGAATACACACCCCTAACCTAGGGGCGAAAGTGTAAATAAAATTATTACACAAGTCCCTACATATTTACAAATTGGTGTCTCTTCTAGAATTCTCTACAAGCCTATAGGATTCTAAAGCCTTCCAAGAAATCTCATTATTCTAGAGTCTTCTACAAACCTCTTCAAGACTTTAGATCATTTCCACTTATTAAGCCTAACTTCAATGACAAAGTGGTGGGCCATGCCATTTGGCTACACTATCATGGGCAGGGCCACAATTTATGACTCCAGTCTTTTCTCAATGGATCTCTATTAAGTTATTTTAATGCTTTTGCTGCTTTTTATTTTTATTTTGTATTGTGTTTTTTACTTGACTTTTCTCTTGTTTTAGTTTCTTGCTTGCCATCTGCGGCATGTGATTGTATTTATGCGGTTCTTGGGATTATGATGCATGATTTTGCTGCGGTTAGGGCTCTTATGGACACTCCTCTCCGAATCGAGGCAGGTTCAGGGGCAGGGGAAGGGGCTGGCGAAATGTTTTGAGTGATAGAGTTGAAGATGTTGTAACTCTTGAACCTTTAAGAACTTTACCTTTTTTCTATTCAGAATCTTTATGATTGTGTTCGAAGAACATCTTTAACTATGAATTTTGAGGATTGTTTCCACTATATAATGGAACATGGAGTCCATACTCTTATGAATTATCCATCTCATCTATACATCAACCAGTGCGTTTGCTGGTCTACTTCGATAAATGTAAGTAATTTGATATTGTTGTTTTACTTATTGTTGTATTTGTTTTTAAATTTTAGTATTTTCTTGTTCTTTTTCAAGGTCGAAATATTACTATTGTGGTTGGGATATTTTGGAAGACGAAGTTGTGTTGCCAATCTTTGACAATCATTAGGAGTCTCGTTTCCAAAGATCCTACATTTGTTGTTGGCATTGAGGATGTTTCAGTAGGGATGACAATGGAGTGGGGTGAGGCGATTTTAAGACTATGCGGGGCGGGACAATTTTAAGATTGTGCGGGATAGGTTCAAGTGAGTTTTAAAAAAAATTAATGCGGGGCGGGGCAGGTTACGGGTCTATACGATTTTATGTGGGTTCAAATTTAATGTTAACTCTTTACATGTTATAAGAAATTGTTATACAGGGCAGGTTAAAAATTTTGCGAGTTGAGCTCAATCCGCCCTACACCCACCCGAACCGACCCCATTTCTATCTTTATGTTTCAGGCAATTCATTAAGTGGTTGTGCCCTATTAATTAGTTATAGGGTATGGATATGATGATGGTGGGCGATACTATATTGTTAAAATATGTTGAGGGTTCATTGGGGGGTTTTGCAGGTTACGTGAACTTTCATCCCATGTTTTTCATCAGTTTTGTTCATTTGACACAGTTAGATGGATGTAGAAGCAGTTAATTGATGTTTATGAGGATATGCATAGTTAGCTGCTTTTGCTTGATTTATAAGATTCAGTTATTTGACATGATTAGATGATTGAATATGTAATCATGAATTTTTTTGATTACCAGTAGTAGTATTATTACTCTTCTGAAATTTATATACTTTTTTCCTAGTTTCCAAAACAAGTCAATACTGTTGCAACCGATCTCCACCTTCTATAGCCCTTGTTGACCAAACCTGATTCTAATCAATCGACCACTAGCACTGGTCTATTTGATATGTTGATAGGAGGTAGGAGAATTAGATGACTTGGAAAACAAACATTAATCAATCAGGAAAACAATACAAAAGGAAAGGAATTAAAAATAGGTAAGTCAAAATACCCAATGACTGCAATTGCCAGCCTAGATCTCAACAGAGCTGCCAAAAAAAACCACCACCCAAGAAAAAATCACCAAAAACCCGCCTGGCTAACTTAGTACTTCCACATCCTAAGCAGCAACACCACCATCCTCTTCATGAGGGTCAAACCGGTCGAACATTGTGCTGATCAGGTCCAGATTGACCGCTTGGTCATCAGCTCTCCTTGACATAGCCAACTGATGCATCCCAGCTAGCTCAATAGCCATATCAACAGTTGCAGGATCACCACCTTGAATATGATTCTAAATTGTTGCGAACTGGTGGGAGCTAGCTTTAATCTTTGTTGTAGTTAGGAAAATAGTTTGGAAGTTGTTCTCGTTCAGCATGATCTGGTCTACTTCGGTCCCAAGATATCGGAAAAACTGAGGATACGGGTTTGGTGTTATAGCTTTGAATGCCTCATACAAGTTTTGAGTCTCTTTTATCACCCTGACATCAAGCAATACTAGGGACATTGGAATTATAAGTACCTCAAAGCAGAAATTGAAACTATGCATCTCATTCCAAGACAAGATCATCAATAGATAGTTGCACATAGCTAGGAACAGGCCTGTGTCCGAACTGTGACGAAGTAGCATCTCAATAATTCCCTTCTTGAATGCCTTGCTAGACCTGAATTTCAAGCGGATATTTCTAGCAACATCCTTTGAGAAGGGCAGTGAAGTTCTTGTGGTTATTGCTAAGGCCATCTTGGAAGCAATACATTTCATCCTCTTTGCCATATACTCATCAAACTCTAAATAATCCACATTCTTAAACACTATCAGTAAGATACACCCATAAATGGTCAATATCCAATCTGAACCGTACACATGAGAACTATCCCAGTCAACAATATGGTCATTAGTAATCGCCTGACTAGGTAGTCGCACCGTGATAGGCCTGAAGTCGAACTCAGTCAAAGTCGAATTGACTAGCTCGTCCAGTTCTAGGGTCACGCATAATAGTATGCTACACACATTAGCAACAACCTGTGATAAACCTAAGTCTCTTCACAATGACTTTAATGCCACATCAAAAAGCCTATTCCTTCGAGCCCGCAACTGGTCAGCAGTCCCCTCTTCATCAGGAAGGTAGAAGTACGGGGTGTATAATTTGAAATCTATATACTTTGATGTCTTACTATTTAAATATTTTTTGCTTTGATTCTATTGTGTTTGTAGATAAAATTTGTAATGTTTTTTATTTACTATACAATAATTTGAATTGTGTGTTGTGTTTTATAAAAGGGGAAACTACATAAATGAGTCATAAAATCTAATTTAAATTACATGTTTATACCTAAATTCAAAGTAATTCAAGAAATACTCATTCTCTCAAAAAAGAAAAAATTACAATACATACCCCCTTTCTTTTTTCTCATTTATTCTTTTTGTCCTATCATTAATCTCTTTTGTTCTTTCTCATTTATTATAATTATTTTCGCTTTTATTCTTTTTTATTTTATCCTTTATTAGAGATACCATTTGGTAATGATTTTATTATTTCTACTTATTTTTTTAGTTTATCTTCTTTTTATATTTTTTCTCTCTTTCTATATTTTCACCTATTTAAGAAAATAAAATAAATTACTTTTGTTCTTTCTCATTAATTATTTTTCTTTTCTCTTTTATTCTTTTTCATATATTTTTTTTTCATATTATCATTTATTGGAGATACCATTTGGTGATATTATTTTTGCATTTGTCAAGATTTTTGAGTTTTGTTGCGGATTTTTGTCAAGGATTCGATCCTAAGAGGTATGTAAGTTCTCATAGTGTTGGGTTCGTTCATCCACACACCAATCATGTGATTTTTATCAGTAATTTCATTCTTGAGGTTGAATGATTTGAGTTCTTGAGAATTTCTTGAGGTTTTGTTCTTCATTCCTTGTTAATGGAGTTTGTTGAGTTTTTGAGGTGAGGATCTTGCTAGTGAGTGTAATTTCGAGTAGATTTTCATGTACTTGAGTTAGGTTGACGAACCTAAGAAAGTTGAGAAGAATCCAATCAATTTTAGGTGAATTAGATCGAAGAAGAAAAATTCAAAAGTTTCAAAATAGGGGCTGGGGCGGTCTGCGAGCAGTGTGCCCAATCAGACTCCAGTAAATGGGGCTGGGCGGTGCGCCAATAGTGCGCTCAATCAGACCCCCAGTAATGAAGGCTGGGGCAGTGCGCCCAATCAGACCCCCAATAAATAGAGGTTTGGCGCAACGCGACAACAATTCATCCAATCAGACCTCCAATAAATGTGTCATTTTCCCTCTCTATTCTCGTTTGTACTTATTTATTTTGTTATGCTGTAATTTTACTATCTTTAGACTAATCACTTTTTTGATATGTTCTAAATATAAAACAATTTGAGAAAAATATTTAAAAAATAGTCGCCACTTAATTTTTTAAAGAAATTAAGAAAACTTAAATTAAAAAGATTTTAACAGATTAAATCTTTATAAATTTAGAGAAAATTGGTAAGAAGGTTTTTAAGACATTTGAAGCGCCCGCTAACACGCAGTTATCCTTCGACTTGGTTAAAATATATTTTGACTATTTTTAGGAAAAATAATTTAAAATAATAATTTCCAATATTTGATAAAATTTAAGAAAATAGTTAAATAAAGAACATTTTTATATTTTTTTCAAGAAAACGGGACCTAAATTGAAGCATTTGAATTAAATTACAAGTGATTAAGATTTTAACAAAACTAAATTAATTAGAATTTATTTGATTCATTTTAAAAATAATAATTTAAGCCAAATTGGTTAATTTAAGCATGAAAACCATTTTAAATTAATTGAAGAATAAAAGTTTTGACTAACCTTTTTGAGAAAAATGACTAAGTAAGTATTTTTTAAATTAATTGAAAAAGTTTTGTCTAACATTTTTAAAGTTTATTTGAGAAAGATACTTTAACTTAAAACAATTTTAAAATGAGTAAAATGTGATTAAGTGAAAAGCATTAAAAAACATATCTTTTTGAAGAACGAAAGGTTTACTTAATTGAAGATAATTTTTTTTGACCAATATACTTGATTAATAAAATAAATGAACACAAAAAAAAATGAAATGTACTAAAAGTAAACCAACACAAAGAAATAACTCATCTTTTGGGGAATCTAATTGAGTTAATTAACAATTTTAAAGTTAGAGTTAATGATAAGAAAAACAAACAACAAATAGATTCAATTAAATAATTTTAAGGTAAATGAGAAATGAATTTGGGCCCCCTTTTTGGGTCAATTTCTCTGCAATTTTTTGGGCTTTTACCCAATTCCCCTTTTTGTATACATCAGTTGTACATCAGTGTATATCAGCATGTATATCAACTCTCTTTCCATGTATTTTTTGCTTCCGAACATCTGTGTTTCGCCTCCACCCTGTATTTTTTTGCATTTTGACTTGTATATCAGCGTATACTGCTGTATACAACATGCATACAATCCATATTCGACTTTCACTGACCCAGTTGACTCGGTAAAGGGAAGAGATTGACCTTTACGGCCCTCCCGAAATGCAAAGGGAAGAAAGACGGAGTCCAAGAAGACTCAAGCAGATTTACATGCAACATAAATAAATAGAATACATTAGTAACGACTCATTGACTTAATATGGGAAAATAATGCGTGCTATAAACACATGTCAACGCTCATAATATTAAATATTATAAAAATAATAATAATAATAATAATAAAGAAGTTCATGCATGACCTAAAATCAATACAGGGATGAGTCTAATGACAATATAACTAACAACTATAATCCACATTAGTCCAAATTATAAAGCTCAAACAATAATTCTTTTATATATCATTCAAGATATATAAAAGTGGATAAATAAAGACATGCATGCTTCTTGATACATAAATGAAAAGAGAAAACTTAAGTATTTGTTACCAAACAAACTTCTACCAACTTTTATACATCAGGAAACCATAACAAGTATTTAAAAAACCACACTAAACATCAAGTTAGAAAATTGTTTCACACTACTGGGCTATTGGCATGTAGCTTTAAATACGCAAGTGAAGGTCTTATGCACTGACCAATATGCAGTTGAAGATAAAACAAAACTTTCATATAACAAATTAACAGTTAGGGAACACGATTTATGATCAATTACTTAGTGAATTAAATTTAACTACAGAAAATAGCGGGAGGCAACATAAGAAAGCAACTCATAAATTGTCACTGAACTTTAATAACCACAAACGACAAGCTGTGCAACTATTTAGCTACCTATCAAGACCTTACTGCCAAAGGAATTGTGTTGCTGGCTCTTTTTTTTGGAAGTGTGTTGCTGAAAGAAATAGTATTGGATGGGCTTGGGTTTATTGGAGAATTGTATTTTGTATAACTTACAAAAATGACTATAGTTTTAGGGTTATTAGATTGAAATAGCTATAA